ACCGACTGGTCCTACTATACATAACGTCGATGTCGACGAAGGGGGGTGGGGGGTATGTAGTACGCCTGAAACAGGAAAGTCAGGAAAATTTTGTAAATTTTTTTATTTCGAGCTTTCAATTGCTGATGAGAACGAATAATAAGGGAGTATAGTACCCACAATTATTCATACTTCAGCAAGCGCTGTATTGAGTGCACTTTGTATCTATATCTATAGGTCTATGTATTGTATGGGCGTTATGGCGCGGACCGCAAGTATAGGCGTTTGCTAAGGAGTGCAGGATCTGCAGGGATGCCCTATCTGTTATGATTCGACCAATAAGCGCAGCCCAGTGATTGAAAGAGTTCCGTTTCCCATTATAGAGCGCGCCTGGCGAAGCCAGGCCAGCTCGGCGAAGCCGAGCTAAAGAGGAGGAGAGCTCGGCGTCAGCCGGGCGATCCGACTGGTGCGTGATATAATTCATGAAATCACCGAGGCAAATCTCACTTTTCTGGGGTGGTATTTGAAACAGGCCGATCATTCTGATGGCTGCTAGAACCTGTGAATCAATCAACTTCAAGAACCTTACTGATCTCCATCACATTGATAGCAACTGATGTACAGTTGAGCACTGACTGGGTACCTTATAATAGCAAGATCTGTACTCACCTGCAGATGTTCAGCTGTCGGCAGACATCGGCGTGACGGCACACCGCCACAATAGGGAAAGGAGTTTTGTAGCGAGAGCAAGAAATGGCGGTTCTAAAGCGGTACATAATTAGATATGAGCAGGGGGGGGGGAACTAGTAGTACAGTGTCGAACCACACCCAGATCCAAGGTACAGGAATCGGGAGACGGGCAAGTGAATCGCAATTCGCCGCTTGCCGCGATGGCGCGGCGTTTTTTGAACTCGTGTTAACCTGTCGGTTGGAGCAGGTTAACACGAGTTCAAACCAGACAAACCAGTTGACAGGTTAACATGTAGGTATCATCATCGTAGACATTCATGACTATTTTCGGTTCTGAATTGCCTGTTGTCGCCATCTACTACCTGGAACCATCGTCATTTGCGGGCGCGACGTCGCACGCGACGCCTACCAGCGCGGTGAATTACGATTCTCTTGTCAAATAGCCACAGGAATCCGCAGAGCCATCCGAGAACGGAGGCTGTTCTGAGGTAAAACAGTGGTCTCATAGAAGGAGGCTGACTGTGTAAGAAGTCAGGAGCATCCTTAACCCTTTTGATGGGTCGTGTTGAAAGAATCGGGGGCACGACTGCTCCACGAACGGCGATATCAGGGATGGGATTCATTACCAAAGATTATGCGCGCAAGCCTGGGAGGCCACCCAATTTCTAATTTTTGGGATTAAAATCACGTCTTTTTGCCTTTTTTTCAAGGGGAAATGCAGAGAAGTAGGAAACCTGCTGAGGAACACTGTAAACGAATGAACCAATTTCGGGTCACTCTTGTCGGGCTTAATTGCAACCACCCACTTTCCGCTAGATGTAACGAGAATGATGGCCGCTGCATGACAGTTGAGTGCTGCAATAACAGCTGAAGCAGCAATGGTGTTGCATGCGTCCAGAGGCGTTACTGTTTCCTTGAGAACGTCGTTCATGTAAGCACTGTGGAATGTCGAAGCCTCAGCGTCCTGAAATGTAAGGAAAATTGTTATTGAAAGAAAGAGTTTGAAATGCTCTTACCTTGCATATGAAGTGCATGGTTTTGACCGTATCGAGAGGATAGTCGCCTTTAGCCGTTTCTCCCGATAGCATAACACAATCTGCTCCGTCAAGAACCTCAAATCTTACAGTCATAATCAACAACACACCAATAGAAACACGATTGCTGATGATTGCATGAAAGGAAGGAGAAGAGTGGTTCACATTCGGTAAAAAAATTCAAACTCGGCACTAATGTGCTCTAGTAGTCGAGGGGACAACGCGGTGGTGTGGTCAATTGATCTATTACCTTCCCCAGGCTCAGCCAAGGGTCTAGCAGAGAACATCGTTATTGGGAAATCCCCAACAGGGGAGGGGGGGTCGTATTTGGTCGCCAGGAGAGGGGGGTCGTATTTGGTCGCCAGGAGAGGGGGTCGTATTTGGGCTGAGAAAAATTTATTTTGATAGTTGATTTTTCTCGCTTCACGGACGTTGTAAAAGGGGAGGGGGTCGTACTTGCTCATTGTTGGGAGGGGGGGGGGGGGTCGTATTTACTCTCTGGCCTTTCTAGTACGAGTGCGAGTGGTGGTTGACTTGACTTTTCCTGTTTACGTTCCTGTTTGCGTACTATACACCCCCCCCCCCCGCTCGATAGCAAAAGTTTTGGGAAACAGTAGGGAAGTCTTCGGGAAATTGGAAAAAGTGGCAGTGCAGGAAGTTGGGGAAAACCTGAGTGGTAGAAGGGAATCGTATAGTCCTATTGTTCCGCGGCTTTTCCTGTTTCATGCTATTTACCCCCCGCGGCTCGGCGGCTCGATTCGTCGATTCGGTGAGGAGGGGGCCGGTCGGGAAGGGGTCGTAGCAACCCCAAAAAAGGGGGTCGTACGGAATCGACTAAAATCCCCAGTTAATGATGTGCTTCGGGGTGTAGATGACCAGAGCTTGTGCGACCTCGTCTCGGAGCGCAGTTTCACTTCGAGAAGATCAGCAAAGTCCGTAGATCTAAAAGCAATTTCCAGCCTTACGAAATGGATCAGACGTCTCCACAATCCACTGCGTTGTCCGCCTCGACACCAGTGAGGTCCTGGGTTTTAATACAAATGTTAAAATCTCATCGATGATGTCGATAAGTAAAGAAAAACCTATGAAAAAAATGACGTACAGCATTAGCGACATCACTTGCTTCGGCTCGAGTAGGGCGTGGTTTTTTCGTCATTGATTCAAGCATTTGAGTAGCGCATACGCACGGTTTCCCGGCACGATTACACTTTGCGATCAGCATCTACACGAGGACAATATTGAAAAGGGAAACTTTGCTCAAATAAATTCGTCTTATTCTACAGAAGCTGGCTTAGAATGTCAAGGGTCTGCACGTTCCAACGCTGAGTTATGGAATGAGCTGCATTCATATGTACCTTGCGGCACTAGGAGAATCGGATAATCTGCGAAATGCTACCCTACCGAAATGCTCCGGTGTATAAGTCCGTCATTAAAAAGTGCACGACATCGTGATCACAGCGCATGCGAACATTAAGTGTTACTCCGACTCAAATGTTTTAACTTCTACGCGATATTCGAGTGTTCATTTAAGAAATTCCAGCAAAATTCTAGCAGTATAATAATTTGAAGACAGCCCCCGCGCTCAAGTAGTACATGGTCGTCCTTCCTTGTGCAAGTAGTCAGCCCCCAAGCTAGAGACTGTCCCACTCTCGCGACTCCACAGTGAGCGAGGAGCGAGCTACAGCCGCTGAAAGTTCTAGTTCTAACGCCCGCAGTTGGACCGCCCACTTGCTAGATGCCCTCTGACGGAGGCCGCTCAGTTGTTCTTTGTTGGGACGGCGGGCATTAATCGGAATCGCATGTACTTTTTGCCACTAGTACTCAATAATCCCATAATCCTGCTCTCCTTTATTACATTTTATTCATTGGGAGCACATACAGTCAACTGGTGGTGACGTCCGTTCCTCCAAGTGGTGCCACCGGGACCTGCTCGCTTTTGCGGGCTGAGCAGAACGCGGACGAACACGAAAGCAGGCGACAGGCCTTCGTGACGGGCCGGCTTACGAACGATCGTAGGGTTTTGTACGCGGGCAATGGGTGACTCAGCAATTTGTCGCGTCGTCGGTCGTCTCGCACACTCTCGTCGACGCTGCGTCTCCGCTTAGAAAGGCTAGAGCGTAGACAGAGGCATCCACCGATCCCGATTGCCGACGATCACCAGTTCACGTGATTGTTGCGTGCTTTGCTCGTGTTAGGTCACTCTCCGATGCTAATCATTCGTTAAAAAAAATAGGAAATCAAGAAGATCTTAACTATACAGCAAGAGCCCACCTGTGCTTCCTTGCGGAGCGAGCGTGACATGCATGCATGCAAGTCAGGGACTGTCGAAATTGCACGCATGATAGATGATTTATCAGGCTATCTTTTCGAATACTCGGAAAGACACAGGCCCTTTGAGGCGAGGAGTGGCGAAGATTAAACGCGTCTGTAGCGAGTCAGTTGTTGTCGGCTTCTTGTATGCAAGCTGTCGACACATGCAATGCTGGCAAGTAGGGACTGTCGAAGACGACTTGCCAGGCCTGTAGATCGATTTATCAGGTAAAAAACACAAATCTTTTCCGATTCTCGCGAAAGCAACAAGGGCCACTTTTGGGCGAGGAGTCGCGGAGATAAACCGGTCTTAGGAGTCCAGTTGTTATCCTTTCTAATAGCACCTTCTATAGCACACGGGGAACACTCCCATTTCATTCAGGTTTGCAGAGACAATGGAGTGCATACTAGCCACTATACGAATGATCTGCTCCTGACTAATGCTTAGTCTATAAATTGTCGTCTCAGAGCGCATGTCAAGAACTACCTACCTATCACTTTGCGTAGTTTTCGTAACTAGCTATCATTCCTGTTATTGAAGCCGTCCACCTTTCCCCTTGTTTCAGTTTTGAATCCTGCTGACCTTGAAATCACGCCTCCGTCGGCCACTGACAGACAAAATAAGGGACAAATAGTGAATCCTCAAGGTGTTCTCATTCAATCTTAGCCTCTCGTGGCTGAAATCACTTCACGTGTCTTCTCCTTACGAGAGATGGCTTTGCAGGAGAGGAGAGACGACGAGCGTACACGCCCATCTCCCGGCGACGGCCGACACACGTCATAACTGCCTCGTCGTCTAATTCTCATAGCTAGAGAAATTTCGGTTGACATCTGCCCCGTAACCCATAACGCACCCGCTGTCACATCTCAATGTTTACGACTAGATGGCCTTAATGAATTCGAGATAATCTACGGCGTCCCGGGAGCCGACGCGCACTCGCAAGGCCCGACGTGTGTGAAAAATATGCGAGGGTCCTCGATGCAAGGACGGCATCGGGGGGCAACCAGGCTAGTCCAAAAGACGTGCAGTGTGTCAAAGGCTCGTATTGCGACGCTGAACGTGGGGACGCTGACTGGACGCTCGTACGAGTTAGCAGAAGCCCTAGAGCGTAGAAAGATCGACCTCTGTGCCGTGCAAGAGACGAGATGGGCTGGCTGCAAGTCGAAAGAGTTAGGCCGCGGCTTCAAAGCCGTTCTTTGTGGCGGGCCGAAAACTACAAGTGGTGTGGCCGTGATCGTGTCTCAGCGATTTCGCGATTCGATTATGAGCGTAGTTCGTTTCGACGACCGTTTAATGAAGATTGTTGTCGCTATTGAACAACGACTGTACCACTTCTTCTCTGCATATGCCCCACAAACTGGATGCTCTGAGCAGTCCAAGGACGAGTTCTGGGCTCTGCTGGACGAGAAGACGGCTGAAGTGCCACCAAAAGACGGTATCATTGTAGCCGGCGATTTAAACGGACACGTGGGCGCTGCAAAAGACGGCTATGCTTGTCATGGCGGATTCGGCTACGGTTCACGGAACGCCGATGGTGAGCGAGTCCTTGAGTATGCAGAGTCGCATAATCTCGTCATTCTGAACACAAGTTTCGTAAACGTGACTCCCATCTCATCACGTTCTACAGCGGGAGTACCAAGACACAAATAGACTTGTACTCATCAGGCATGGCGACCAAGGACTCGTGACAGACGCTAAGGTAGTACCGTATGAAACGGTTGCCACGCAGCACCGCCCACTGATCTGCACGCTCAGACTTGTAGCTCCCAGGCGAGACAGGTAGCTGAACGATGCGGTCCTGAAAGAATCAAGTGGTGGCGGCTGAAAGAGCGGGAGGCAGCTGTGATTTCTCGTATA